TGTGAGATGGGAGACAGAGAGGATGAAATAGAGGACAAGCACGAAGCAGTACTCCTGTGTTGGGAGGATGGTGGGCCAAGAAGCTCTCATCTGTCGGTACTTTTGCAGCGACTTTGGCCAGACTCAGTTTCAGGAGCTCAATGTGTCAGTGTCTGACTCAGGCCATGGGGTGTGCTGAGGGCTTAGAGGCAGTGGCACAGCCCTGGGCAGCAGCTCCCAACCCCTCAGTCCCTGCAGCAGTCGCTGCCTGCACTGCTGCCAGCCTGGTGGGAGCTCAAAGGTGCCCTCCTACGTGCTCTGAATCACTGGCAGCAGCTCCGTTTCTCCAGGACAGAGAAGTTATGAAAAAAAGCTTTAATTACTGGCCATAAACATTTGCAGTATTCTTGCCCTGGAGCAAGTGAGCTGCAGCCAAACGGGTGGAACCCAAAGGGATCAGTGCAACACTCAGGCCAGAGCAGGGTTTCTTAAACATAAGCTTATAGGCACACACCAGAAGTTTCTTTCTTGGCAGATGTAAGGTCTGAAAATATGTCAAGGATAGCAGGATGTTCATTTAGAACTTTAATAACAAACAGCTGTAATAAAGCCCAGGCTGCCTACAAGTCAAAATAAGTTTTGCCACCAAGCTAAGTGCAGCCAGTGCTCCAGCTCATAGCTTGGAAATGTCACGGTGGAGAGGACACATGTGGTGAATTTTCTCCTCCCAGCTGAATTATGGTTTTTCTTCCATCACTTTTTCTTCTTCTCCTGTCTCCATCAGAATGCCACTGCACCTTTTCATAGAAGCCAGCACTTCACAGCAACAAAACATTTCTCCTGAGATAATAATTTGCACCTACTGCAAGTGGGAGATTTTCAAACACTGCCTTCAACTCTGGTTATTGGACTTCAGAGAACAAACTCAGGAGACAAATGACCCATTGAACTTCAGGGTCACTGGCACTTGATACTTTTGGTAAGAAGAGAAGCTAGGGTTCAGGTCAGGCCCTTGTGTAAACCTCTGTTTGGTCACTGAAGTCAAACCATCCAAAAAGCACAGAAGACTCTTTCCGTCCTTTTGCAATTTTTTTCTTTTTCATTCCCTTTTTCATTTTGGAGACAAGCATGATAGGAAAACTACAGTAAGCTATTTTCAGGGCAGCTATATGTTTTTTGTTTTGTTGGCATCCCAGTCAAATCCTGACTTGCCAAGTGCATTTAGCCCTACATCTTGATCCTGCATAAGGTCCAAGTTTCACAGCCATGTGCCCAGCCATCCTTTGGGTGAAGAACTTTTTTCTAATATCCAACTTAAACTTCCCCTGACACAACTTCAGGCCATTCCCTCAGGCCCTGTCACTGGTCACCACATTATGGTTTTGATCTCAGAGTAATATACAGTAACATACTGATTCAAATGGGTGATGGGCAAATTTGGACAGCAAAGCCCAGGGGTCTGTCTGTAAATAATGCCTACAAAGTTGGGTTTGTCTCCCAGGGACGTGACTCACATGCTCTTTGGGGGCTGTTGCTGCTGAGTGATCAGCAGGACTCCGCCTGCTGCGTGCTGCACCAGCACCCACAACTATGACCTCAAACATTATCCCAACCTCAGCAAATACCACCAAAGTAACCACTAAATCAATCAATCAATCAGTCAGTCAGTCAATCACCATTCTTCAGCCACAGCATCTTTTCTACTCTGCCTTTACAAGTCTTCACTCATACATCAGACCTGCTGGCTCCTTGTGCTGAGACAGTGCCCACATGCTGTGGATTAGCCTTTAGCAGAGAACTTCAAAAAGTTGAGAGGGAGCTTAGACAAGATTGAAGCAAATTATGTGTACGCCAGATCCTAAACTTAGTCGGAATATCACCCTTAGTTGGCTGTGGAGTCTTTCCAAACCAAATTCATCTTCAAATGCCTTTTTAGCTGCTGGAAATCCAGCTTGAGTACAAATGAAATTGTTTTTCCAAATACATTTCTGGAAGAAGTAGATGTAAGCATGCAGAAGAAAAACTATCCTTGTGGCTGCACATTTGATTCTCTTACACTTTGGGAACTTGCTGCATATCACAAAAGGCAGGCAGTGAGACTACCCAGTGGCCTCTGCTAGCACCTTCCTTTTTGTGAGGTACTTTTAAAGCCCACACATAACCCATTCTCTTCCCCATCCTGCTTGGGTGAAGTGAAGGAACAGCTGTGTGGTGTTTCATTGACAGCTGGTGCTAAACCACAACATGCAGTTTTCAAATTGCTTCTGCAATAATGATCCAGATACTTCTTTGGATTACCTGCAGATACTGATGGGAGAGCGTGTGTGTTAGGTTTAATCTATTACAGTGAAGTACAAATAGATTTTGGTCTTCCCAAATCTCATCCCCTGCCCCCAGCTGTCAGATTACATGATAAAGCAAGGATACCTCCCCATATAGATTCACTTAAAGGCTTGAAAACACAGATGAAGTGTGCTGATTTTTTTTTCCCCAATAAAAAAATCTGGTTTCTAAATTCTTGATCAAATCATCCTTGGCTGTCTCTCAGGCAGATCCAAGATGCCCCAAACAACTCCAATGGCACCGAGGAAGGCAGGCTATCAAGGACAACATACAAAGCAGCACAAAAACCTTGACAGTTCTATTTAAAGTGACTTTATTAAAACATTGTTAATATAAAATGTGACCAAATACAATTTCATTTTTGTAAGAATGTTTAATAAAAACATATTCAAGAAAGAAGGAGCATCAACTCTTGTCAAAGCACAGGAAAAACCTACCAGGATAAGTAAAAAGTTCTGCAGCATGTTCTACCAGCTGGTCCCAGTGTGTATTAGGGTCAAGTTAGCCAATGGAAAAGACAGACAGCCCAGATTCTTCCCTAAGAAGCTTTAAGGTATTACCAGAGAGATTTTAAGTAACACTCCTTGACAGTAGGAGACTTTGTTTTCAGATCTCCCCAAATCAGAATAAGATTAGAATGTGCATCTTTATTTATTTTGGATTTACTACTTTTCAGCAGCTGAATGTACAGAAAATCAGATTCACTGGTAATGGTAAACCCCAAGATTAACATTTGTTAGATTTAGAAGGAAGGTCAATATCAATCATACACCTAAAGAATTTGTGTTAAAGTTGTTCTAAGCTGCATTAACCTCTGGATGCTTGTAGCAAATGCTACAAAAAAAAAAAAACAGCAGAAAAGTCCAGGATGGTAACAACAAACATTTTCTGAACTGCTGAATGCAGAGATAATATCCATGAACTAGAGGAGTGTCGTAGGTTGACAAGGAAGCGAGTTTTTTTGGGAAGTTATAGCCAAACCAATCAGTGGTCAGGTTTGAATATTGACACCTGCTGTAACCACTGAAGACATGGATACAGCTCTGAGAACACGGGGTTAAAAGCAGAGAACTCCCAGAGGAAGCCTCGCTTTTGTTGCGGTCAGTGAAGAGCTCAGGTGTCCAGCCCCGGGCTGCGTGGGGCAGGGGAAGCCATGCGGCCTAGACTCAGGGAGGCCAGGAGCCCCGGACGGACGGAGAAGGGGGCTGAAGGGAATGGAACTGGGCCGGCCCCTGCAGGACAGAAGGGTGGAGAAACACGGGCATGTCCCAGGCAGCCCCCCCAGACGGGGCCACCCTGACATTTGATATCATATGCCAGCAGCACGCAGGCAGAGGAGAAAGAGCAGGGGGGAAGGTGCAGGGCCGTGGGAATCCCGGGCAGGCCGCTGTGAGATTTCAGCTGTCCTGAGGGCAGCAGAGCCCGAGATTTTAACCCTCCCTAACACAAAAAAAACTTTGCGAAACATTAATCCTCCTTCATCTGAGAGAGAAGAGAAACAGCCTTCTGAGTTGTCAGAAGAAGACGGGAAAGAATTCTAGGTGGGAAGAAATGATGGAGTGGCCTTTAGCTGGACTTTTTTTTCTTTGTATAGCCATAGACTGAACCAATTTTGCCGTAACACAGAGACTGCATTTTGGGGGATGCAGTGGTTTGAGCGAGGAGAGTGACTGCTGTAGTGCCTGCCCGTGCAGGAGAGAGAGTGACCTGCTGTTCTCAAGACCCTCGGCCTCAGGGAGAGGGCGAGGGGGACTGTTGTCCCGAAATGGGAAACTGTTGTAGGAGGGTGCAGTGGTGCCCTCTGTCCTCAGAGAAGATCTCTGTTCTCAAGACCCTTGGCCCCGGGGGAGGTGAAAATGGGGTGGACTGTTGTCACAAAAATGAGAGTGTTGTTTGTAGGAGGGTGCAGTGGTGCCCTCTGTCCTCAGAGAAGATCTCTGTTCTCTAGACCCTCGGCCCCGGGGGAGGTGAAAATAGGGGGGGACTGTTGTCACAAAAATGAGTGTTGTTTTTTGGTACTTGGCAAAGCATCCTTAAAAAGAACCCTATAAGCAGTTTTAGTCCATAGACGGTAGTGAGAGCATTGTACATAGAAGGAGTATGTCATGACAGATTTTCTTCGGGTGGTGCCATGTGTGACATGGAAACATAAACTGTGTTTCCTAGAGAAGACTACAGTACAAGAGAAACTCCTCCCTCCCTTGATAGACTGAGAATTGATTACCTGAGGGGAGGTAACAACTGAGAATCCAAGGTTTTGTCTCACTGTGCTTTAGCAGAAATTAGGTAGAAGAAGGAAGAATGTTTTGGGAAGTTTTCATTCTGAATTTTGTGGGTTCCTTTTATTAATGATGTAGCTTAATGAAGTTTTTTTCCTTATTTCTAAGCCTAAGCCTGCTCTGCTCTGTTCCTGGTCACATCTCACAGGAGTCATTTGAGAAAAATATATTTTCATAGGTGCACTAGCACTGCGCCAGCGCCAACCCATGACAAGGAGTTTGTACATCTCAGGAACAATGTTAAAAAGCTTTCAGAAGCCTATAAATAAGAATATGCTATACAATGGCTTCTACTCTGTGGTGATCTTACCATTTAGCTAAGGAACCTTTTAAGAAAACACTATAAAAACTGGAGGTTTTGGCCTTGGTGTTTTGGTTTTTTTAGTTGGTTTTTTTTGATGGGGTGTGGGGGCAAGAAAAGAGAGGATATGCTTACAGCATTTTCCTTGTCCAACAAGTAAATTTTAATGCTCTATCAGCACACTGCTTGTTCAGAGCAAGCAGCACACCAATTAGAGGCAAGGATTCTTCCAGGGCATTGCAAACCCTTCCCATAACAAGCAGAAAAAATCCTACTGCATCCAATTCTGCACATTTAACTGCCCCTGGCACAGAACCAAATGTCAAGTGCTAATCCATGAGAAGCCTAGCACAGCTATGGCTTAGGAGATGGTGACCTTCTTACAGCCTTGGCTGGGACCCATTAGAGCCCTGTGTTTTGCCTTCTACCCCAAACAAATGCTATGGGACTATTGCTGAGGTAAAGGGAAAAGTCAAACCTTTGGCATTGGAGCAGACCAGTCACTGGCTGTGCGTAGGGGAATTAAGGCTTCAAGGTGAGGTAAACACAGTGAGAATCAGTGTGTAAATCATGCTGCATTTCAGAGACAACAGATCCAAAGGACAGCTACTCTTGCTCTCTACATTTTAAACACCAAAGATCATTCAAAAGCAGAACTGGAGGCAACATTGCCAAGGGCCACCTTGAGATGCCTCTCTGCACCTTAGGAATAAATGTAATCCAGATGTTGAACACTAAAGAGGATGAACCCACAAGGAGGAAAAAGCACCAAAGTTGATGAGTCCTTGAGACGATAAGCTGCTTAAAAAACAAAAAAGCCTCACACTGCTGTGACCTCCCATAAACATAGTGGTTTACCGACACAAAGGTAATCTACACTCCAGAAATCCTCAGTGCTGTAGTTCCAGCACTAGTTTTATGAAGAGCTATGCTCTAGTAAGGAGGCAGTGAAATTGTGTTCCCTGAAGAATTTCTCCAATTTGTTAGGTGTTGTCCCACTCCTTTCTACCCACTTCCCAGTCTTCAATCCAAACACCAGAAACACCATTTTCCCAGGTAATTTTTTTAACACTCTTAAGTTATTTTAGCAGATTTGTAGGTACAAACACAGTGCTTTTTTGGATCCATCATTTTGGCAATGCCTTTGCCTTCTTCAGAAGAAAAAATGTCTTCAGTAAGTGGTACAAAAGATACTTTCAAAGGAAACGAAATCTACAAATCAATGCAATTCTGGGTGCTTGCCTTTCATACTGTTTTTTTGCTAGCTGTCTGAAGTATGGTTGGAACCACTGCAGATGCAACACTATTTCTTACAAGCCACGCTAGCAACGTTTCCACTGAAAATTGCAAGCTGGTCCTGTAGGTTCCATCTCTAGGATACAGAGACTCATTTGTGTTTCTTTAACATGTATACAGTAACTTTTTCCATCCTTTCAATACAGTAGCTACTAAAAATTTTAACAGATATTAAAAAATATCCAAATGAAAACACACTTCTATCACTGTTTAAAAAACAAAAACATATACGGTATTACAAAAGTTTATACAAAGGCAACATTTAAGAGTTTGAAAGTTACTTCTAGAAAAAGACACAAATGCTAGTAAATTAACATACAAGGAGAAGGGTGTTCCACTCCTTCCCCGAAGTTGGTTTGATCTGTTTTGAAGTATCTTTTACCAGTTGTCTAGAAAATCAAAGCCAGTCTTCAAGATTACATTGCTTGTACTAGTCTGCAAGGTAAAAAAAAAAAAAAGGAAATAAGATGTTGCTGTTAACTATGGTATTACAAACTGCATATTTCACTGTCTATCTAAAACCTAAAGTTTAAAATGCTGTCTGACAATATTTCAAGATCTTTACTATGCTCTAGGATACCTAAGTACCTACACCATAAAATGCTAGACATGACATGGTAAAATACTCACAATGCCCAAAAAGGCCATTCCAAATAAAAATAAAATTATTCTTGTGGTATGCAGGCAAAATATTTTGATTTTTTTTCCTTGTGGAAAAAATTAATGAAGATCAATTTTTCAGACTACATTGGGAATTACAGAGAATGAAACAAACACAGAAGGCAAGCATCATTAATTCAACAGATTGTCTGTTGCAATTAGAGTCAGTTGTTTGCAGAAAACTACACAGATTAAACTTTGATGACAAGTTATTTACTAGGCTATGCAGAACATACTCATTCCTGCCATGTTAGCCATGACATTTAAGGTGATTCTAGTGTTTAGGAAGAGTATTCAAGAGTTTAGGAAGAATATTCCAGAGCTGAGTCTCTGGATTCTCTTCTTAGAGCATGGCTTCCCAGAACAGGGAAGATAATCCAGAAAAGAAGAAAGAAAGAATTCCTTATAATACATGAAGTTCTCTGCTCCTCTGTTCCCATTTTCACATGGGAGGGTTGTTTCTCCACAAACAGAAAAACCAAGCTTTTCAAAGGATTTCAGTTATCTTGAAAACATTCAAAAAGCAATTGAAACTGTTAATTTGTAAGAAAACATGATAAAGCCTTTAACTCAAATTAAAGGACTACCATGTTCATAAATTGTAGCTAGGCAGCTCAGGAAGCATTATCCCTCAGTTTCAGAAGATGGTAACTAAACAAAGGGCTTCAAATACTGGAGTGGCTTAAGTATTGCTCTCTCCTAAGTGCTGTCACTTACTTTTCTTGCAACCAGTAAACTCATTCTGCATCTTTCTGACTTTACATCATCTTGTTTGGAATTTGAACAATCATACTTGGGAAAATAGAAAAACAGAAAATAGAAAAAGCTGTGTGAAGTGCTGAAGGTGTACAGTAATTTGTCAGGCTATTGCCAGAGCAATGCCACAGATTTCAAACAGAACTGCACAGCTCTGCTTGAAGCACCACTCCTCCACTTCACATTTTTCAAGCTTTTGATCTCATTCTTTTTTCCCCCTCCCTGTATCATATCCTACTGCTTCCTTTCTTTTCTCAGAGATCAGCATCTGCTTTTTAAAATAGCTTCAACTGGCTATTGAGCTGCTTAAGGTTATTTTTTGTTGTTGGGTTGTTTGGGTTTTTTCATTTAAAAAAAACATTGAGAAGGCTAATTCTGGAAGCTCATTCTATTTCTATTTTGGACTTTAAGAGAAAACACATTTGAAATCAGCACAGCTGCCTGGGACAAAGCACTGGGAAGTGGCTGTCAGGCTACTGCTTGGAACAGCTGAGAACCAGTTCACCATTCACCACAATGCTGTGTGTACCAATAAAGTATGCTAGACCCTAGTTCACCTACTTTGCAAGTTAAAAAGCTTATTCTTTTCATTAAATGTTTTGCTTTTCCAAATAAAACCCCAAAACCCCACAACCTCTTTTATGTGATACAGCAACTTGCTAGGTTGCTGTCAATGAGCTACTTGGTGCCTCATCAGCATTTCTGGTGTTAGATTTAAATTATGCCGTTACCCTGTATGTTAAAAAGCACTTAATTGTAGTTAATGTGTTGAACAGACTGTTAAATAACAGATTAAATAGACTTCTTCACATCTGAAAGACAAAAAAGCCATCAAGCTGAGCTATGGCTTAGTGATTTTTAGAGTCCCAAATCTTCCAGAGTGGCCTTGGCAACTGTACTTGCTGCACAGTTTTTAATATAAGGACAATGGGTATAGCAGTACTCACCTGTCCAGGCATTTGTGGGTCTGTAAGTATAGTACCATCAGTATCTTCCTTGTTTGTCCTAGAAGATGCCAGATCCTGTGGTGGATCAGGAAGAAAGAAGTCATCTAGAGAACTAGTAGGGAGTTGAGTAGGTCGAGGTTTCTCCCACTCGAGAGACACAGAAGGTGTGCTGGGGGCAACAGACTTCTCTGGTTTAGTTATGCTGGGCTTCTCAGCTTTGGTCATCTCCTTTGGAGCAGACTCTTGTCTGTAAAAAGAGGGAAGGGGCTTCTCTCCTTTCTCCATGGACTTGATCTGGCTGGGGGTCAGGGACTGGAACTCAGACTTGTCTCCTTCAAACTTCGAGCGCTCTGCGTTTATCTTCCAGAAGGATGATTCCTCTTCCTTTCGGGATGCTATCAACCCCTCAGAACCAGGGGTCTTATTGGCCTGAGAAGATTTAGGGACTTGGACACCAGGTGCTGCTTTAACAGGCTGCCTCTGCTCATTCTGCAGCTGGGCACCACCTTGCTCTTGTATGGAGAGAGATGCAACACTGAACTCCATCTGACTCTGTTCAGGGACAGAAAAACAGCATTTCAAAGAGCTTCACACAGATACAGTTTTGACTTTCTGACCCTGGTGCACACAGATAACACCTCAGCCCACTGCGAGACAGCTCTCAGACAACAGATACCACAGCAAAGCTAACTTAATTCCTCCATAAATGTCTATCTTTGTAGTTTCATAAAAATCACAATTTTTAAAAGTCTGAACTGCAAGCAAACATAAAAGTCCCAGACCTGCCGCAGAGGAGACAGGGAAAGCAATTTTATTGGAGTTACTCAGTGCCATCTAAGGCAGCAGTACACAGCACTGAAACATTAGAATAGCGGCACTAAGACATTACAACAGCTGCAGATGCATTTTGAAAGTCAGAGATGTTTTACATCAAAATTTTAAGCAAAAAAAGCTTCAGAGTGTAGCTCAAAAGGCAATTTTCCATTATAGTCTTTGAAATAGCTGGCTACAGGTCCATCTGCTTCCAAGATAAAGGATTAGATGTAATGGGTATGCATAGGTGAATAATTTTATAATTCTAATGCCCCTCTGAAGGAAGAGAAATAACTCCATCAGGAGCATTCTTCACCTATTCCAGAGCCCTGGTTTGTTTTCACTTGGAGTGCTGAGACAGCTGTACCCATTTCTGAGAGGTAACACTGGCCCAGTGTTACCTCTCAGAAGTGGGTACAGCTCTCAGCACTCTTTTCTTACAAGTGACCACAGTTAATGCATGAAAATAATCTTACAAGTAACAGAAAAGTGAACAGTACTTCAAAATGTTTGTTTTACTTACCACCACCTCAGTGAAATGATTCTCAACGAGCTAGACACTCTTCCAGCTAATAAAAGTTAAGCCTTATTACCCTCTGAGAAACATGTAAGCATATGTGCCAAGAAAGAACAACCTAATACACAGACTTGTGTTTGTAAAAAGGAACAAATAATGCAAGGAAAAAATAAAATGCTTTTACTGTTAAAGCTACAAAAGAACAACCTAATACACAGACTTGTGTTTGTAAAAAGGAACAAATAATGCAAGGAAAAAAAAATGCTTTTACTGTTAAAGCTATGTTGTTGTAATCATGGGCCTGATTTGGTTTGAAAAAAAAACTCCAGAGGACTTTTAGCTTTTGGTTGAAATGGTTGAAAGACACTTTGAAAGTTCATTACAAATTTGTGATGTTTCTTCACCATTCTACTTCGTTGCTGAGCCTTTCCCAAATAAAACTGCAATAGCATCTATGGACTTCAGTCTAAAACAAGTCCTAGTTGCATATCATTTTCACTGAAGTGTTTGATCTTGAGTCCTACATTATTGTGCATGTGAAGTTCAAAGGGACTCTAGATCTAGCAGGACTCACACGCCTAGTAGTTAATATTCAGAAACTTCTCATCAAAGAACAACTGTTAACCCAGCAACTGATTATTTATAAAACATTTTTTTTTAATAGTCAGCAGCTGACTACACATAATTTGATTCATGGACTTAGATCTGACCTTTCTAAAGAATTGGATGCATCGTTTTTCCAAGGCTGTATGCAAGAGAGCAACAAGCTCCATGTTCTCATGAAGAATATACTGTGCTATCAAAAGATGCAGAACATAAACAAGCTGCAAGTAATTATAGCTCAGCTAGAATAAGGTGAGGGTAAGGATACACGCAAGTCTTACCAAACAACTTAACACCCTACCCTGCCTGCAAAAAACTATGAGGAAAAAATTACTGCTCTGATTTATTTTTTTAAAACAAGTCATGATGTAAAATTAGGAGCAGGATATTTATTCACAGATAAATTTTGCATAAACAAACCATAGATGCAATGGTGTTGAGGATTATTTACAGTGACTGCCATTCCCTATATTAAAATATAGGGATTTATTTCCCTAAGCTCATTTGGCAGTACTACTGAATAGTGATTTACCACCCTGAAGTTAAGATGCTTTAAGACTTTAGAACTGATAAAATCCCAGATTAAAAAAACCCACAACACAATATAAAATAGACCTGCAATTCCCCAACAGCCAAGAGAAAAAATTAAAGGCAGATTCTAAAAATCAAAGACAGGTTCAAAAAAAGAAAATCCATCTTGGAAGACTTAAGTCATGTAGGAATTAAAACTGTGCTACTTTTTGTCCTGCAGCAGTCTGCTGTCTTCTGAACAGCCTGTCCTGGGGCTCACACTGGGGATGACAGTAGCTAAAGGCCATCACAGCAGCAGTCATTTTCAGTAGAATGATTCCTTTACCCCCCAGCCCAAGGGAGAGGGAAGATCAGTGCCCAGAGAGCAGAAGAGCCATCATAGCCCCCAGGTCCAGCAGGGCAGCATTGGAAATAAAATCCAGAAAAAACACCCATGGAAGGGAAGTTATGGGTCTGTTAAAACAAAAATTAGAAAAAAAGTAAACCAAGAAGATGGTTCTGCATTTCAACAGCAACTAGCCAGACAAGCAAAGCCAGGCCTTCTGAGAAGTTCTCGGGCTGTGGAGCTAAAACCACTGACTGTGGTGATATTTTACGTTCTTTTTATGGGGAAAAATATCAACTCAGAGATGTGGTTTGGAAGCGTCACATCGCTCCTGGCGTAGAGAAGAGCGTAGCACTACAGCAGCACTTCAGGCACTTGTAACTTTCCAACGTGCTCGTGGATGCATGCTCTAGAGAGGATGTCCTCTTTGCCCTTTTGTGCAGAGACCACGGGGTGCACCCATTTCAGAAGACAGGACCACCTGACATTTGAGATTGCATATCTGTCTCATGGAATGCTCTGGAGATAAAACAGTTCATAGCCTGACATAGAATAATCCAAATGAAAATACTTTTTCTGGAGTTTTCATTCTCCCAAAAGGAAGGCAAAGAAGACTACCCCGACAGGTTCTGAAAGCACTGTGTCTCAGCATGATGTAAATACAGTTCTGAGAGGTCACAGGGATAATTCTGCTTCTACCATTTAATTCCAGAAGCCAAGAACTTCTGTGGACCAGTCACAAGATACTCTGTTTTCCCTGAAATATATAATGCTTCTATTTGACTTCTGAGGTTATTTAACACATCTAAACCCCTAAGAAATGTAGCTGATGAAAGAAAATTATTAATAGGCAATATATTTCCAGTTAAGAGAATTGGCAATAAAACACCCTCCTCCGCAAGGAAAAAGCAAACCAAACAACAGAGCAGCAGCCCAAGTAGGAAGATAATATCACAGAGATAGAAAAGGCCCATGTGTGTGAAACACCCTATGCTGATATCTAAGTAATGAATAGTACTGTACACTCTAATGAGTCACTAGACACTACAAATGTGATTTTAATTAGAGCTCTGCTCTCAGTTTCTTACATCAGATTGCAAATTGGCAATTGGTTGCGTCAGCAGGAGAAGGAAGCAAACTATATTTAAAAGACAGCAAGCTCCCTCCCTCCCTCCCTCCCTCCCAAAAAATGTCCTTTTCCTTTAGGTTTGCCAGCTATGAAAATATCTTGATGCACATTTCTCCTGGCCCCAGCCAAACGTAGGGTAGCAGCTCACCTGTAAAGGTTTGCCTTCCCCAGGCTGGGGCAGAGCTGCTGTGAGCTGCACCTGCCCATGCAGTGCTCAGAGGCAGAGCTGCACTTGTGGCACCCTACCAGGTGCCACCCTGGGGAGGCAAACACTGAACAGTGGGGTGTGATTTCATGGTCAAACGTGAGTTGTCTTTCAGGCACAGTTTGGGATTCTAGAGAGAGGGTTTCAGCTCCCTGCTGCTTTCATTGATTTTGTATTACTTTACACGAGCTGCAGTTTCTGTACGTATAAATCCCCATCTGAGGAATAAAATAAAAATATTTTCTTTTTCCTACCATCTGTCCAAATGGTATTTCTGGGAATTGTTCAGCCCAGAAAGTCTCAAGAGTTTACAGACAGACTAGTACAGTCTCAACTGTAATTTCTAGAAATTATTGGAATTCAAATAAAAGCTATTAACAGCAGCAATATTTTCAAGATATTGCATGAGCAATATCTTTCTCAACTCATTAAGAGAGAGGGGCTAGAGAGTGCATGTGAAAGCATGCACAAAGAAGTACTTTGAGGTAAAGCAAAGCTAGAAGCCTTTGCTCCTTTCAGTCTTATCCCTCTGGTCCCAAACCACTGCAAGGGTTTAAAGAAAGGATGTCCTGTCTTAATCATTTTTCTGTATAGTAGATATAAATAATATTATAAATTGCAGGTTTTAGGAGGTTGCATGTCCATCTTTCCTTAAAAAGACCATATGAAGGTATTTAGGAATTTTGTTTACTGGATTAAAGAATTTAGACCAAACTTCAGTCTCAAGGCAGCAACAATCCACTAAATTGTAACAGTGGCTGTACATACTCATGGGAGACAATGTATGCTGAAAGAGAGGCAACAGAGGCACTGAGAATGTCACGATTTAATTATACTGTATGAAATCAAGTCTCAGTTCACAAGTACATATTAAAAACAAGATGATCACAAAGAACCCAGGAACTTTTAAAGCTTCTTATTCACTCATCAGGAATGTGTAGTATTTTACTAAGCAGTCACGCAAATACAGCCAAAACAAATTGTTTTGCTTGGCAGGCTGAAAAATCCAAATTGTTGAGACAAAGACTACAGAAACACTGTCAAAAGCAACTTGTTTTAAGCACAGCCTGATAAATGCAGAGGTAAGAAAGCCAGTTTAAAAAGATTTAGAAGATGACTTTGCTTTGCTGAATAGACAGAACCAAAATAAATATAGAGCTCAAAGCAGCTGCAGTTTTTGCTTTGTTTCCTGTGCACACCGTGGGTGTTTTCAGGATCTTTTCAGAGTCAGAAAGAAATCCTTAGGTCAGCAGAGGCAAATTGCAAGGGCAAAAAATAGAGCAAAGCACTCAAAACCAATCTAAGTAATTTTAGTCCATATAGAAGGACAATGCTAATGTTATATAGTATGGACCTTTGAAGGAAATTCCATTCTATATCCTGCTGCTATGAACTGAATCCAGCCAGCCACTGTTTCTGGCTAGCTTGAGCAAGCTTGTACTGACAGTGCCTGGTTTTATGCTCAAAACCAACAAAGACTGATGCAGGAACTGAATCCTAACACTTGGCCATACAGACTAAAATAAACCTTGAACACAGCTTCTATTACCACAGGTTGGGTTTGGTGGGTTTTTTTTGCTCAAGAACTAATAGTCAACAGAAGTTTTACAGCACTGTGTTTTAAACATACGGAGTCTAAATCAAAAAGGGAGGGCTAATCTCAAAAGCTCAGGGATCACTCCTTCTGAGGAACTGCTGCCATTTAGGCCAGCTTGGTAAAAATAATCACATCAAATTATAGCTTGTAACAAACAATTATAATATAATGCTGCTAAGGAAGGAAGGAAAAAATTCTCTTCAGCCACTGTGTTCCTATTTAAAACAAAACACTAACTAGGGCTTGTACAAAGAAGGATACTGAAGACTGCCTCAATTTTAGATAAAGGAAACAGTTGGTAAAGCATGTTTATTACAAGTGCAACATAGCTGTTTTCTTCCTAAATGATTGCTGGGATTAGATCACTTCTGTAGCAATATAATTAGGGAATTCAGACAGGGAGGCAGCAACCAGATTATTGAGGGATTGAAGCCTGTAAATTCCTCATTTTGTTTTTTAAAATTTCTGGGGTTTTTTTGTTTATTTATTTTAAACACACTTCAGAGGCTTCTCTTTTCAACAAATACCTGAGGGCCTGTTGAAAACAGAAAAGAATTGGCAACTATTCTACCTGTATCAAGAAAAAGAAATCTTTAGATATGCATGTGTCAATTTAAAGTATATGGAATAAACCCTATTTTCATTAATAGCATGAATTAGAGGTAAATTGCAATTTATTCCCATGCTGCTCAGTACATTCTGTGTGTTAACTGAGGTGGCAAAATGAAATATTTTCTGCCCATTACTAAATTAATTAAGCCCCCCCCGCCCCTGCCCAAATGTAAAATCACAAAACCCATAAAGTTCTGAGTTCAGGAAGAGTTGCAGAGAAATTTTACTTCCAAGTTCAGGCATGATTCTTGTTTTCCATTTATATCTTGAGGTTTGTGCTGAGTTTCACTGAATTTTGCTTCAAACAAACCAAGAAACCTCAAAGGCTAAACTCAGCTAAAATGTCATCTTTCATCTCACGTAAACCTGAAGCCATAAACAGAATGCCCTGAATTCATAAACCTGGGTAGAGCTCCAGTTAAAAATGTAATCCACATTTCAAGATATGTTATGTCCATGAGGGCTCCACCCATGAACCAAATCACTCCCTCCAATTCAATCTTTAGTTTTATAATGTCAGCCCTTTTGCAGTGCCAAGTGAACTCACTGCTTCCCAAATTTTCCTTCTGAGAAGTGTTATTGTTATCTACTAAAAATATTTTTTAGATGCTGTCTAACAGCTAACTTGGCAATTTACATTGTAGTTCTACCTTGTTTGCCTTGTCTGAGGATTTAAAAATAAAAAGGTGAGACAAGAAATCATCATCTAAAAATAGTGGAGATATTCATGCGAGTGTTTGTTGTGATATGAACGACTGCAGCCCATCTCACATTTGTGTTTAAAATGAGAATACGGAAAGTTTACTTGTAACACAAGTGAAGCCACCAAGCCCTTCAACAATGTTCTGAACAAAATGTACACTGTTCAATACAGCAATTCAGTACACTGAATGTGTATGTACAGCAGTTCAGTACACTGTTCTCTGGGTAAGTTTGAGTGCCGTGGAAGTAGGGAATCCATGGCACTAGCTACAATGAGAAAAATTTGTCAATACCTTATCAACTAGAATCCCTGCTGCCATCACGGTTACAGCTGAGAGCCTTCAGCCTGGGAGAATACATGCCCTCCCCTCTTCTCTACACTTCTCACTACCCTCACAGTTTCCCTTGTGTTAGTTACAGAAAATACTCATTTTGCTGCTTTATTTTTCTGTCTCAGTGTTTAAGGAAAAAAAAAAGGGTAAGCCAGAGCATATTTGTGCACATTCAGGCCATAACATTCTAAAATCCCAAACCAAACAAAAAGCTCTGCATTAAAGGGAGATCAGGGAGAAGAGTGTTGTGGAAAGAACAGCCCATCCTGGGGAGAGCCTATGGAATGGAAAGAGCCTGACAGCCTTAAATAACGGTGGGAACAGGTCTGGCTCCCACGACATTGAACAATGCATTTCAACACACCAACCTTCTTGAACAGCTCATTCAGATTTCCTCACATGGGACCGCTTGAGTAAGGCTACTTTTTCCTCAGCTGATACCTCATTAAAAATTGCCTTCCATTATTACCTCATAAAGTTAGGGAAGATCAAAGAGTAAGCACAAAGCAAGATCCCCACTTTTGAAAAGGAAGACTCAGCAGTAGAAGGATTTGGTTGAAAGACTGATACACTGGGGAAAAACCAAAAGGAAGAATCCACAGGAACTGACCAAACCATACACATAAATCCAGACAACATGGATACTCTAGACTTTTGCCAAAGAAAAAGGTCATGCAACTTTTCAGCCCACAGCTGTGGCACGGCTTTTATTTCTGGTCAGCAAGGAGGGAGAGGGGAAAGTGGGAAAACCAGAAAATCCTCCACTGGTTCTTCAACCATCATAGCTTTTAAGGGAGTTTTAAGGCAAGTGAAGACTAGCATTGGTTTCTCTTAAACTGCAGCAATGCAGGCTGCCAGGACCCAGGAGTCACATCAAGTTATAGGTTAATCAGCTTCTGCAAAGCACAGATGGGGTGCAGCTACAGGCAGTGACCTTGAGCAGGGAGGGCTAAGTCTCAGGTCAACTGGATTAATTTAGTATTCACTGGTATTTCCAAATAATTACTCTGTATTAGGCTAAGATTATATTCATAAGGTCATACATGATTATCTAAAGAGTTCAAGGGCAAAAAAAAAAAAAGAAAGAAATAGGGAACAGCGCAGTAGCAGCTTTCTCTGGCAGATAAGGGCAAAAAACACAAAGTCTGAAATGTGTGATTAAATTAACATGCCTGCCATACCCAGTTGAGAAAGACAATGAGCTGTGGTTTTGCTCCCAGAATTTTTCCAACAAGAAGAACTAAACTTTATTTCCCACCACACATATGGCACAACTGCGTTTCCTCACACTGCAGGCTCAGAAAGATGGAGAACTCTGGCTCTGTGATCGCCATATGAGAATCCCATCATAAATAATGCTTTAACAAAATACCAGAGATGAAGTAAAAAAAAAGAAACCCCAAACCGACTCACCACAGAAAAATATGTTATTCTTTCAAGGAGACTTCTGCAAAGAAAATAACATAGTGCTTCTAGCATGGCCCTAGGTTAATAAGTTTCACTACATTTGTCCTAAGACAACATTCTAGCTCATAATAAAAAGATGAAGTACTAGACAGGCTTTCAGAAAGAATCCAGTGAAGTTATGAGATACCTGCACATTTCTCACACCGTTTTCTAGCTACTTTACTCTTGACCTAAAAGTGAAATGCAGCTATGTTTATACAGCATCTGAGACAAGGGTCTTACTAAACATGGAAAGTTGGTTAAAAAGTTTGCAACAAAAAATAAAATTGTAATGAATTGGTCTTACATCTGCACTCAAAGCCAGAACATTAGCTCATGAAGTATATTTTGAGTTTCTCCTGAAGTAAATCAAAGCATACCAATCCTGTTTGATTTGCAGCATGGTCACTTTATACCGCTTGCATAGAATAAAGGTGACATTAACCTATCAAGTAACAAAATGAAGACAATAAATGCAGTAGGAGCAGTGACGAAGCAACAGAGAAAAAACCAAAAAAAGCTGTTTAATTACCTTTGTTTCCCAGGAGAATGGAGCTGAGTGTTCATCTTGCCAAGTTATGTCCTGAAATAAAATTGAAGAATGACTAAAAATCAGAAGAGTAGCTTCATCTTCTCAGAAGCATTACACAGATGACATTATGTTACACTGCTGGAACTGTAACACCCACTGCTACAGAACTGACTAAAAAATGAAAGCACTACTTAAACATGGCACTGATTACATTTTAAGACTGACTGAAAGCAGGTCCTCTGAGGGGAAGGTTATCAATACTATACCAATTTAATCTACAAAATATATGAAGGTTTAACCTGGTCTAAATCTCCTGAAATGGTTTCTCCACAAATAGCTTTAAAATGTATTAGATTTCCAGTCTTCTACTCAGCGTTTCTTTGGTAGCCACTAGCAACACACAGGGACAGAAACAACAATAGGAGAAGGGGCCTCAGGGGAAATCAAGTGCCATTTACTCCCTTTGGCAGACCACAGAGCAGTAGTGGGGCAGCGAAACAGCTGCGTGGCCATCGGGCCAAGCCCCAGCTGGACCCAGCCCCAACAGGACACATCAGAGCACCAGGGCAGTGACAGCCACTCTGAAATACACGTTCAGTGGTGTCGAAGGAGCCACAAGGCACCCACAGCACAAAATCTGAAATCCATTATTTGAAGATGCTGCATTTCTGCAACTGATCCCAAACAGGGAAATTTAAACAATCTCTGCATACATGGTGTGCCCTCCAGAAATACAGGCAGCCCACACTGAAAAAATGGTGGAAAATAATTTGAAAAATTATTGTTGCTCCTATTTGTTGAAGAATTACAACAACATGATTGCACTTCTATCCCTAGTCATGGCTGGGACTCAGTGGTACATTGGACGGTCCCACAGGTAGAGGTGGTGAGCTGCACCCTCCACACTGAGCAGGTCACTGCCTGTGGACACTGTAGCACACCAAGAAGAACAGGAGTGGGAACACCGTATGGAAAGGGAAAGGTCAGGAGTACCCATGCAGGATTTTTACACTCCTGCTGTTCAGAGAACAACAGAACTCAACCATGTTTTTACACAACACAGGAACCCCACATCTCACTGTGGCTGCTTTTTTCTTCTTATTTCTGGTCTCTGACTTTCTAGGAATATATATCTTAGACATCTGATAACATTCTCCTGATCTGCCCTCTCTTATTTCACCGTAGGCAGATTTTTATGGCCTAGAGCTATGAGATCATGATTTGAAGTGTCTAAAACCATCTCCTAAACATAAAAACATGGCATACTCCAACTATTACTCATCTGTGAAATACAGGATTTCTAGCAGCAAGGTATTTGTGGTATATATGAGGGTGATCCCACGCTCTTAAAAAGAAGTGACCTGGTAGAGCTCATCTAAGAGGAAAGGCCTGGGCTTTTCTCAATCACATACTGTGGCCAAAAGGAAATTTGGTATAGGAAATTTTTGCCAAGAACACAAATGTAATTCAGGTTTTCTCAATCTAGGAAACAGATTCTCCGATGTTTTAACATTTACAGGAAAAAAAGGAGCAGAAGTCTGCTTTTTAGGATCTATCACCATTTGCACTGTGGTGTGCTGCTGTCTGCATGGGAATGCCACACCACTCAACGTGTGATATCTCACAGCAGGTCTAATTATTTCAAACTCCTTCTAGGACAATATCCTTTGCCTCTGAAATGTAGTTGTTCATTTCTGAAAAACTGGAGTTCATAATTTCTGAAGCATGCATGACAGAGGAATCATGGCCCAAAAGAGAAGAGAGACGGGAGAACCTAACCGCTGGATTGAGTCTCACACACAAGAAGGACTATAACACTCCTGTCTTTGTGCGGTCTGGATAAATCAGGGCTTGATTCAACCACAGCAGTAAAGGACAGAACTGAAGTCCAGAGAGCAGTGTAACATTCCTACATGCAGTCACAACGCCTTGAAGCTCCAGATGTGTAGGCATAGTGGGTTTTATCTAACGAGTTTAAAGGAAGAGCTGTCTTCTTGCCATTTACAGGACAAGCAAACCAACCAGGGACCAGTTTTAAACTTGGCAGTAAGCCAAATTCATCCTCATCCTGGATCCAAGACATCCAGTTCTTTATTCTGCTGTATTTGAGGCACAAGAAGACAACACCGGCAGGGACAGCTCTTTACCCAAAGCTCCCAGCACACCCTCAGCTCAGCTGTGACACCACTGCTGGGAGCGAGCCCTGAGGACAAAAGGCTGACCACAGAGGGGTGAAAAAGCAGCATGGGCAAGGCAGAGTGGCAGTATGAGGCTGTCATGCAGCAGGATACATCATTCCCTGCAGGACAGAGCAAGTCAGCCTCCCACTTCAGAGTCTCCTCAAGCATCATTGTCCTTGTTTGCACCACAACTTCCAACCTCAACCTCCAGCATAGGCAAGTAAAAAGTTCCTGGAATTAATTAATTTGGGTAACAGCTGTCAAAAGTTCTGGTCAGAGATATAATCTAAGAGTTTCACAGATTACATAAAATGGAAGTAGTAGACACATGTTAAGCAGCAGTTCATTAAAAGAAAAGGATCCTATTTTTATTTTCTTTTTACTTAAAAGGAGGTGGCTCATTGTTTCTTGGGCTGCACAGCCCTGCCCTCCTCAGAGACAGTAACTCTGAGGAACTCTGTCCACATTCACAAGATCTTCTGTGGGATATAGCAAAGAATAAAATAGGATAAGACGTGGCTGGAGGATACAAACCTTCAAGCAATGGATGTCTGTGGTTATTTGAAGTGCACTTGGGGCTAGGATGAAGGAGACAGCTGACAAGTTCTGCCCATTGTTAGGGAAGGGAAGGAAGTTCGTGGCCTGAACCTCATGTGTCTTCACACACAGAACATGCAGAGGACCAAGTGAAAAGACAGGATAATGCTGAACTGTGTTGTGCTACCTAAACTGCCTGATTCATGTTTATCACCAACAAAATATGAGAAGTAACTTAGTTTTTTTGTAAAATATACAAGTTCTTACATGCTTGAAGACACTGGGAGCAAAAGAATCAACTATTCCTATAATAACAAAAGTGAATTATGACTGGAAATTCTAGAGAAAAAGGATTAAAGGCCATTTATCATCAACATAGATTAGAAAAAATCCATATCTGATCAGCTTTTGTTTTCAGCACACAACAATGCCTTCTTCCAGCAAGAAGGCAAATAAATAAACTTTTGTTCACCAGGGTTAAAAAAAGAACCTATTTGTAAGAAATGGGGCCTCATGCAACATATTTCAAAGCTGAAAAAGATGAGTGAGAAAGAGAGGCAAATATCTGGTCATATACTTGACTTCAACAACCAGCTGCAAACTACATAAAAAAGAATCACAAATTACATTTGCTATATGTAGACAGCTTGCTGCAAAACAACATCTGAATTTCAAAATGGAAGGCACTGCTAGAAGTGTGCCTGTGTATCTGACATGAGCATTGTTCAGCACAGCTGACAGTAGCTGGGCAAGACACAAACCCACCAATAAATGCTTCTCAGAAGTGTTATTAGAACAGGACTTGCTGGTTATTGAGGTTTTACTGCACTCAAAAGCTGCCTTTCATTTTTGGGTGTTTAAAAAGCAAATCTCTAAAATGCCAAACTTAAAAGTTTTTGCTATATTGATTATTTGTTACTTTAAAGCAATTTTAAGTAGGGAGGTAAAAAGGTTGATCCTTTGATGCCAAAGTTCTTAAGGCTAAGCAAAACAAATAGAATCTCTGACTGAAGGCAGGTCAGTCAAGCTTCCCTCTTAAAACTCAGTGAATGAAGCTAACCAAACTCTTACTGTCTTTCCTCCACATTAAATGTTTACTACTTCCTAAAGCATATGGCATTGTTTCCAATGTAAAGTTTAGTTCTTTCACATCCAACTCTTTTACTGCTCAAATACTTAATATCCATTCAAAGGAAAAAAAAAACCCTAAAAAACAAAGGAAAAATCAGACCTTGATTCCACATGTCTACGTCACATGCTTATGGATAAAGATGATATTAAGAGAACAGTGAGAACTTGCTGTAAGCTGAATATCTAAACTATCTTTCACTGAACCAGAGAGAACCCAGCGGCATCAACTGACACCAAATCAGCTGCATTTTCAAAGGCTGGCCACTACAGCATGCAAAGGGTGTCAGTCTCTCACGTACTGCTGGTTTTCCACCTATTCCCCTCATGGTTTACAGCATATTTCAAAAATAATTCATCTATACTACATTCATGCTCAATCTCATCTTGTATTTCCAGATTTCTCCCTGCTCAGTTAATCTCCATTTCTACTGATATGGGCATTAGAATGAAGAAATTATAAATGGAGAGATGCCAGCAATTGGAGGCTTGTTGGAAGGAGGAAGCTCTGTTGCAGCATCCAAAAGCTCTTGGAGAGGAGGCCTGGGCTGTCTAGACACAGAAAATTATGGTGAAGCAACAAATAGCCTCCTGTGCTGGGTTCATGTGCCATGATAGCAAGTCAATCTTCAGCAAACAGGACAAAACTTATTTCACTGTGGTGTGAAATGACCCTGTTAGCCCAATTCTCTTTTGAAACTGTGCTCACAGTGCCTGCAGGGCTTCTGCTACCAACTCCATGACTGGTGATAGCGCAATGAGGATAAGATGGAAGAGAAGGAGCAGTGACTCCAGGCATTTGCTAAGAGTCACACATGGTGCTGCAGTGCTCTAGCATTATAAAATGACTGGATCATGGCTACAGGATGCCATGGTCCTGTTACTGCACGTCTATGTTCTGTTACACCCTTCCCACACAGCCAACATACTCAAAGGTGTTTTGAGAATGTAAGAGATGTTTATAGTTTGAGAACTTACAGTCCTGGGCTACAAGTTCAGGAGATAAATCTGTTGTTAGAAGAGCTACACAGGAAATGGTGGGGGCGAGAAAGAGGGAAGCTGTCCAGAACTGTCCAGAAATACAAGACCACTACACATATCCTCTGGACCACCTTATCATAATGGCAATATGCATGAAAATGGGACTGAAACGGTGAGAGGCCCAGACCAGCAAATCAGTATCTTCAGTATTCATCCTTGGTTTGCTTTCTACCACGTCTTCCAAAGAACACAAGGTCAGAGAGATCAAATTTCTGTGCTTAAGCAAGCCCAGGTAGATCACGACATTTCAACATCAGTTAACAGGGAAGATGAGCTGTGGTTGGAAACATGAAACTTTTGGACCAGGTGTATCAGCAAGAACATCATCAGGCCAAAACACTCTCACTGAAAGCACTGCAGCATCCACAAGTGATTCTGAGGCATGCGGGCTCTTCCCCGTTTCCTTGCCTTAGGATGCCATACACCAACAGCCAGGGAGAGCAATGGTCCTGAGCGAGGGCTGGGCGACCACGGCGCGTGCAGCAGCTGAGTCTCACACAGGCAGCAGGGGCACAGCTCCCTGAGCCACCCGAGCAGGACACAGAGATTCCTGAGCTCTGCAGGCCAAGCGCTCGCCAGCCCGGCGAGTTGAACCGAACCAGCGAGGGACCAGCGCGGTGGTGGGTCCACTACAGCAAGACAAGGAGGAACAATTTGTCAGCCAGGGCAAATGTCCAACAATCAGGTTGAATGCCAGCAAGGGAGCCAGGGAAGAGGAAGCTATCAGATGAAGAGCCAGAAAAGGCTCCAAGGCTCAGTAGTACAGTTGGAAGAAATAAAATGGCAATGGTGAATGCCAAAATGAGTGGAATCTCTTTTCTTCAGAGAAACAATTTATATTATCTTCTGCTTAGAAGTCAAAGAGGAAGTCAGTTGGGGCAGATGCTTCCAAAATGAAACGTTTTGTATCAAGTATTTGGATGATCCATGCATTCTTTGGTTAATAGCTACAGAAACATTAACATTATGCATAATTGTAACTGTATTTGGGAGAAGCAGGGACAGCTATTTTGCCCAGTTTCAGATGGGCTCTCTGGATGTTTAGGAAATTATTACTTCCATACAGTGCAGCACAACAGCCTACAAACATGCTTGCTTTCCTTCCAGATCCACATAATTCAAAGCAGAAAGCACAGCAGAGCTTTCCAAGGTTGGGAAAATGGAACATATTTTTTTTCCACACTCTTTAAATTCTTTCACTACTAACTTCAGATTTAAGTTTCTTTTCAAAGATTGTTTGCACAACCAAATTTGTTGTCTTACGTCCTTCCTCTATACCTCTTTTTGGCCATTACTATCAAATATTTATCTAGAATTTTGGGTATCATGAACTAGACTAACCTGAGCTACATCCTAATCTCTCTAGCTTTAGATATGATGTGTGTGCAGCACAGCATCACACCCTTCTGACAGGGGAAAGACAGGCAGCAGTCTCCTGGCATAAAGCTGGTTGGGAACCATGATGCCCAGTACCAGTATGCCCCACATGCTTCTTAGAAATCCCATTGCAAGGGATATTGGAGAGGAGCCTAAAAGTAGCCCTGCTCTCTTTAAACTGGATTGATGATTACAAATGGAGAAGCAGATTTTTAATTTTTTTTTTCTGGTAGAAGCCACATAATTAACAATAGGTCACTTAAAGTTATTTTATGGACATAGTGAAAGAAACTAGCTCTGTAATCATACAAGCATAAAAGAATATAAAAGAAATGTAAAAGAATAGAAAACTAAAGGAATCAATACAGTGAATAAAAGACACCGTATCAGAAGAGTACTGTCAGGTCTCTTGAAGCATTGTTAGACCTTCCTCTTCAAGGGCTCACACTCGGTAACACGACCCACTGCTCCAGACCGGGTACTCTTTTACTGTGGATTTCCAGAAGGGCTACCACGCTTCACCATTGGATAGATGGCCCTCAGAAGGTTCAAAATCCATACTTTTTGCCATCTATCTTTCCACACCCTTGTTTTTCCTGGCATGTGACATGGAACAGGCTGCATTTTTTTAAGGTGTCAAACATGCCAAGAGCTGGAATGTTTTCAGTGTTGTATTTTTAACCGTGTCTAAAACTAGAAACGAAAAGGAAGAGATTTAACTCAGTGTAAACATTCCCTACAGCCCATTCTCAGCAAGGGACTATGTCCAGCGCCATGCCCCGCCGTCGGGGCAGCTGAGACCGTTCTCTTCTCCAAGTGTTCCTGCAAAATCCACTTCAGCGCTGTCGCTGCCGGCGCCTGCCCTGCCTTTACGGTGTGAACATCCCGCCCTCCCGCACAGCGGGGAAAGCAATCAGGCTCATCACCCGGGCACCTCGCGGAACGCCCGCCACCCGGCACCGCAGCCCGGGGAGGTCGCGGCCGCCCCGCCCCGCCCCGCCCGTGCGGCGGTGCCGGGGCCGGGCAGCGCCGCTCCCGCCGGACCCCCGGCACCCCTTCCCCTTCCCCCGCGGCCGGTACCTCGTCTCCGAAGCGCACCACCTTCTGCCCGGTGTTGAGGCGCAGGCTGGGGTAGGAGGCGGGCGGCGCGGGCGGGCGGGCGGTGCCGCGGTGCGCGGCGTAGCGGGCCTGGACGTGCGGCTCCACCAGGCACTTGTCGATGATCTCGTCCTGCTGGCGGGGCGGCAGCCGCTCCCACTCGGGCCCGTAGCGCTCGCGGATCCGCTCCTTCTCCGCCATGATCTTGCGCGCCATGGGGCTCAGCGAGGAGAAGTAGCTGAACCGCTTGCGCTCCCGCTCGTCCAGCGGCCGGTTCCCGTTCATCACCGCCGTGCGGGAAGCGGCGATCGCCGCCGCCATGGAGGCCATGGCCAGCCCGCCGTCCCCAGCCCCGCACTCGCCCGGCGGGATTGGGGATGGGAACGGGAAGAGAACCGCCTCCTCCGCTCCCGTCCCGCAGACGCCGCCTCCCTCGCTCCCTATAAAGCCGGGCGGCCGCCGCCCCGCGCCGCCCGCCCCCCGCACGCCCAGCCCGCGGCAGCCCCTGCCCGCCCCCGCCGCGGCGCCGCCCGCCCGCCGCTCCCGCCGCAGGGAGCCGGCCTTGCTCCCGCCGCCTCCCGGCCTTGCCTCGGGCTCCGTACCGTCCACAGCGGGGGCTGAGCGGGCCTCGCGGCCCTCAAGTGTTCCTGCCCGTAGCGCTCGTCTCCCACAGCCCTTCCCCTTCTTAGCCGAGGAGGTAAGCTGTAGTATTCCCACGCCGCCGGGGCCAGGAGCATCAGGAAAGGACTTGCCTCAGCTGGCAGAGAAGCACCGTGGCCAAGAACCTGCCTTTCTTCACTCCCTAAATAAGTCGTACGTGTTTCTTAACACGATAGAAGACAGCAGCTGCTGTCAGAAGAGAGAGGATGCCTGGCACAGGGCTTTTGACCAACTCCACCAGTTAGGGTGCAAGACGGTCGGAAGCCTCTGTATTAATTTGATAGTAAAGCTGCAGCCTAAGTGCAACAAGTCTGTGCAGTAGGCGTTATATTGGTAAAATAGATGCCTAAAGGCTGAAATAATTAGGTTTTCTGGTCTCTACTGTACAAATGCTCATTTCTGGTAACAAGTCCTTATCTTGGCCAGATTCACCGAGGTCCCACACACAAATTCCCAAAAGATGACCAGTCTCCCTTCCACAAAACAAACAAACAATAACAACATCAAGTTTACCTAAAACAGGCAAATATGTCAGAAGATTTATGTGCAACTAGATCTATTTTGACTTTTGGCCTAGGTAGTTACAGGGGATTTTTTATTATCTGCAAGATATATTACAAAGTAGAACAGATATTGAGGTTCAGATTAATGTTTTTTCACTGCTTAGCCTATTTTTTTTCCTCAGTCTGCTTTCTTTAGTATCATTCTTACTAGATAAATGAGTGGGACTGCCATACATTAATGTTCCCATTTAAGAGTTCAAATGGTATCACCAGACCAGCTGTCTAAAGTGACACAGAAGAGGATGGAAAATGACAATTAGATTTCTCCACATACTTGGTTCTTTGGAGGTAATTAGTTTCCCAAGTCATCACATACCAGCCCAGTTATATAATCCTGTTTTGTTTGTTAAACTTGTTTGAGAGCACTTGACTTGAGCTCTGTTTCTTTCTTAGTCATCTGCATCACGCCCAGAGAAGGAAGCCTTTAAAACACGTTTGCAGGCACACACACACTCATAAGAGGTGTAACACACATTACTCTGAACCCTCCCGTGATCTCCCATTAATCTCTTTTGTCTGCCACCAGGGGGTGGGGACATTGTCAGTCACAGGAGTAAGAAATGAGGACAAGGAAACCCAGACGATTGCATATGGTTTGTTTGTCCAGGCAGGTTTTTCCTTCCCCACCATTCCCTTCTCCACTCCCTCTGGTCTAAACCCCAAAACAAAACCCCTTCTTTTTATAGTTCCCAAGACTGTCTGGTCAAATACCAATATAACTCCCTATTCTCAATGAATAATACAAGGCATAACAAAACTTAGAAGAGGCTTGGAAGATCACATTAGAACACAATCAAAGTATAAAGTTAGGCATATTTTCCAGGCTGCTGTTTTTCCATGAAAATAACAATTCTTTTCCTCCTTAATGAAATGTAGTAGAGGTTTCTTAAACTTTTAGACTTTCAAAGAGAAGAAGCAAACAGTGAATATTGGGAATACCTGTGTCACAAATGGACAGCATCCCAATTCTTTAATGAAAACTTACAAGCCTCCTTTATCCGTACTTGCAAAAAAATACCTACTTTTGCCCTTTACAGAAATTCTGATCAAGAAAGTTTAGAATTCATAATTCATTAGTACTAAACATACAGGCGGTCAAATTTGCCTTTATTATGGTTTGGTTAAGGAAACCCACCTTTCCAGAATGCTGCCAAGTCTGTCCAACAAAAAACTCAAGGAACACTAGCTAGTGTTCCCAAGGTACTTCAATCCTGTCAGTCTGTTAATAACTTCTGCCAACCACCACCATCAATGGGTATTTGGAAAGGGAGATTGTTTCTGACTTTTACTCACCAAGAGCCTAACTCCAAATAAATAATTGGTTTGGTTTTGTTTCCTAAGGATGTTTCCCTGAACCCCACTCTTTTAAGCTGCCATCTGTTCTTTCACTGGGCTGCACTACATGAAATGCCTATGTATTCTCCAGTTACTCACACATGGTAGAGCTCTTAAGTTTTCTGTGCAGAGGCTTTGGAAAAAACCAATGAGAAGTAGTATAGCGTTATTTCCAATGAAGATAAATTTTCTAATTTTTTTATTAAATAAATTTTCACCTGTAGTATACCTGATCAAGTTTCTTACTGCTCTTCAGTTTGGCCCCTCAATAACTATTTCTGTTAGTGTGTCTTAATATGAAAAAGCAGTTCTACTTCTTTTTTCCTCTTTAATATTGTTGGTCACAGAAAGATTTCTTCTACTGGTGATAAACAGTCAAGTAAGTTTGTTCTATTAAAAAAAACAAAATCAAACCATTTTGACCATAATTAGCCTTTCAAAATAATTTGCAAAGCAGTACCTCTTGGCCTTTTATTTGTATAAATTATACAACAACTATAGTTTTTTTTAGACAATGAGATGAGTCTGTATTTAGTACTTCAATCATCGTTCTCAGGGTTGGAAAAGTCTCTGATACGGATGGTAGGCTCTTGTAAGAAGGTGAAATACTGAAAGACAAAAGAAAAGTTATTTTTTAATGAGTTTTATAATTTACTTGCAAGTTAACATATTAACTTCGTTAACTAGACTTCTCCTCATCACCTTCTCTAACAAATTTGGGACCTGTGTGAAGAATCAACCCCTTGCAGGCTTGGGGCAGAGCGGCTGAAAGCTGCTGGGCAGAGAAGGACCTGTGGCTGCTGGTTGACAGCAGCTGAACATGAGCCAGCAGTGGGGCCAAGAAGGCCAGTGGCATCCTGGCCTCTGTCAGCAATAGTGTGGCCAGCAGGACCAGGGCAGTAATGGTCTCCCTGTACTCAGCACTGGTGAGGCCACACCTCCAGTCCTGTGCCCAGTTTTAGACACCTCACTGCAAAAAGGACACTGAGGTGCTGGAGTGAGCCCAGAAAAGGGCAATGGAGCTGGTGAAGAGTCTGGAGCAAAGTCTTAGGAGAAGCAACTGAGGGAACTAGGATTGTTTAGCCTGGAGAAAAGGAGGCTCAGGGGTGACCTTATTGCTCTCTACAGGCACGTGAAAGGAGGGTGTAGCCACATAGGGGTTGGTCTCTTCTCTTAGGCTAACAAGGGACAAGACCAGAAGAAATTGGCTCAAGTTGTGCCAGGGAAGGTTTAGATTGAATATTAGGAAATACGTCTTCATGGGAAGGGTGAAGACATTGGCATAAGATGCCCAGGGAAATGGTGCAACCACCATCCCTGGAAGTCATCAGAAGTGTGTGGATGCAGCATTTAGGGACATGGTTTAGTGGTGAACTCAATGCTGGATTAGCAGTTGGACTCAATGATCTTAAAGTTGTTTCCCAACCTTAATGATTCAATGATTCTCAGAATCTGTTGTTCACAAACAGCTCTTGCTTTTCATGACTACTCCGTCACCATACAGAATGAAAACAATGTCTACATAGAAGAGCTTTCAAAAGCAGCAGAATTTAAAGAAAAAATTTATTGATTTAAGTCTTCCAGCCTTATTTACCACATCTACTATTATTTGGCTACCGCAGATAAATTAGCCACTCAGGCTAATTACCTTCATATTATTACATCAAGTCCTTTGAGCCGTACTTCTTCAGGTTTCTTTTTTCCCCTCAGCAAAGTCAACTTTAGCATTTTCTCCCCTCTGGCTCATTTCCTCACCTATTATACATCTCTAATTTCACCCAGCAATTTCCTAGGTTCTACTACACTACAAAATGGTATTGGTTAAAAATACATTGTTTTGGCAAGGTTATTTTTAACACAAATTACTTCCCTGATCTGATTTGACATGGATTCATACAAGTTTCAACAGTACAGCTGAGGAAGTCAGAAACACCTGGGTAGCACTGAAATGTCTTAAGCTGACTTTACTCCCAAGAAGGAAGTTTCTCTTTGGTAAAGATACGTCTTTAAAAAAAACCAAACCAAAACCAGCATAAACAGAGGATTAATAAAGAAGAGTATGTAATTGAGAGAATTACAGAAAAAATTGTGGGAAGCATAAATATTTTATATTTCCAAGACAAGCATGTCTCAATATTTGTGCAGACTACTTCTAATAAAACCCACAACTTGCTGCACCAGTAGTTTAGAAATGTCACTCCTTAATGAATACTGAATTTTACTTATAAATAAGTAAATTTTTAGCCTGAATTTTACAAAGATATCCTTGAATCATATTAGCCTTCTTCCTTTAGGAAGGGATTTTATAGTCTAGTGAAATTCACCAGGCTCAGAACCTCTGATAATAAAGTTAAATAACACACATCAGTATAGAGATGTCTGGCACTAAGAACAGCTGCAGAGTTCCACAGTCTCTAGGAACTTGGACCAGACCTCAGGAGGTATGGGATCTAAGATCCTGTACAAAGCAAGGTCAAATCAGGGTGTCACGACTTTATCCTGCCAAGTCTAGAAAATCTCCAGGGGTGGAGACTGCACAACCTCTTTAGGCAGTCTGCTGATGAAAAGATTAGGCCAAGTCTAAATGTTGTTTCAACTCATGCACACTGCTTTTTGTCTTCCCACCATACACTCACAGGTCCTGCAGAGCTGCTCTTAGATCAAAGTCTGATCTTCTCCAGACTGAACAAGCCCAGTTCTCTCCTGTTAAGGCATGTGCTCCAGACCACTGGCCATATTGGTGGCCCTCTACCAAATTTTTTCTGGTTTATTATGGTCTTTACTGCAGCTGAATGCAGTATTTTAGGTGTGGTCCAAAGTGCTGACTACCCCCTAAATCTGATTATCCAAACATCATCTTAATCCATCTAGTTGTCCTTATGTCCAGACTATAATGCGCTGTCTTGATATGAGAGTA